CATTCTTTCGACAGCAGCATAGCTTTTGTGTAGAGACTTGGACTTTTGCTCGTCACATGCAGACTTAGCCAGAGATTTATGCCTTTGCAGAGGATAAGAATGAATTTTTTATTGCTCTTCGTTTCTCTGGTGCTCTGAGAAGATCTTGTGCGTTTCTTTTATGCACCGTTCTTCTCCGTCAATGACTTAAGCAATCTTCTTTTATGCTGGAGACTTGGGCCAAAACTTGCATTATTTTTTTATGCACTTTATACGTGAGCGCAACTTTCTTTTTTTTTAAATGTCGACCTCAACTTCAGTTTCTTCTAGGCTCTGAGACGATGATGATAGGGATGCTTCCTTTAGTTCTTCCGTTGTAAGTTTATCACTTGCTTCATCTTTTCTCTTGTTCACCATCTTCGAAACTTTTTAAATAGGCAAGGACCATTTTTTGTTCTCCCATGATGAACTGCTACAATCACTGGTAGAAACTTTGATGATCTGATTTTGGAGAGCGTTCGTTGAGGGGCTGCTGCATATGTGAGCATGGACAAAGGGGACTAGTTGCTTCCTTTGTCTTCATCCGTTATAGGTTCAGATTTGTTGCTGTTGCAAATGGTGGTGATCGGCGGCGTCGCAGCAGCAAGTTGGGCAGAGATTCTCGGTGGCGCTCTTGTCCATCCAAGACTGCTATCGTCTTTGTGTCGTTAATACAAAGCATCGCTGGGCACAATGGGTGGGCGCTGTTCCTTCATACCAATCATACCTCAAAATTTCTTTGGGCACCCATGCAAGTGTTTCTTCTTTTTAGAATTGGGTTGAATTCAATCAACATGTTTTGCTGAAATCTTTGAATGCTTTGTTGCTTTTCCTGCTCCTAGTTCTTCTTTACTTTTCGTATTTCACCGTTATCTCTCAATTTCTCTCTTAACTTTCTGCAGGGTCTCCTTTTCTTCCTCCTCATTTTTTACATTCTTCTTTGAACTTTTCAACCCTATCTAAACACGGGACTTTGAACCCGTTTGATTGACAGCAAGCTTCATTCATTTTTTTTTATAACTTTGAAGCTTCCAAATCCAACAAACTCTATTCTTCTCCACGTGAGGTGCCTATTTTTTTCTTCCTTGCTTTCCTTTGTCTTGTCAGCTTGTCAGCAAACTCTTTTTTTCTTCTCTGTGAATTTTTGAAACTTTTCCAAATCCCGTAGAACTTTACGTGGGAGTAAACATCTATTTATTTCCCTCTTGTAGTAACTTTTTCCTTGGTGGGATTCATGCCGCCCGGGCTGAAGAAGGCATTTAAGCACCTTCTATTTTGTTGGCTGAAGCTCTCCCAAAGTGTTTTGAATTCTTTTGAGAGTTTTTATTCAAATATGTAGTGTAGTGAAGACCCATGAGAGGAAGATAACATCCTTATTTTATTCCTCTGCCGTTGCTTGTTCATCCGCGAGAACGGAAGGATGATACACCACTTCTTTGCCGCTGCTGCTTGTCTCCCTCAATCTTTGACTTTCGACGAAAACGGGCGGCATGCCAAACTCTTCCTTCTTCGCCGCGAGGTGCGTGGCATCCCGATTTATTTCGTTCTTCACCATCTGCCGTTTGTATGGATGTATTTTCTTTCTTCATAGACCTTATCAAGCTTCAGAGTCTTTGATAAACTTTTATAAGAAAAACGCAACAGCACGTCTTCAACTTTAAAGCAGCAACATGTCCTTGTATTTAGAGCAACATCAATGTGTGAGAAAAAAAAGTTAGTGGTCTTCGTTCATGCCATGGATTTCTCGTGAAAGAGCCGTGCCTGAAGCTTGGTTCTGTTTATGAAGGCGACGAACTTCGTCGAACGGTAGGCAGCTAGAGAGTCCCTTGTAGCAGATTTATGCGAGCTTTCTCAAAACACGTACGGTAATCGATGACCAAACTTGAAGTCGCATTCTGCTTTCTGGTGAAGATGGAGGGCCGTAGACGACTTCTTTCTTAGGACCGAGAATGGACGATGAAGAGCATCGATCACTCAAATTTGATTGGAACTTCACGGGGTGGTTTAAAACACCCCAAAGAAATTCATGGAACTAACTTCAGCGGCACGGACCACTCCTTTTTCTTCTCGGCATAGAAGAGCTTGATGGGTAGAGAGGTCACGACAAGGCTGCAAGGTCCTTTTGGGCTTCTTTTTAACGTCTGTGATGAAGCTACAAGTTTCTTCACTGATGGAGAAAGGAAGGTGGCAGATTTCCAGAGGCCTACGGCTTTATTTTCTAGATGGATGTCGCGACTTGGGAGAGGATGAAGAAGCAGAGTGTTTCTTCTTCTACAAAGCAAAGAAATAACAACGAAATACAAAGGAAAGATTAACCCAAAAAAAAATAATGGATTTATACCTTTTGAGTCCTTGCCTTTCCTTTTTGGCGTCCACCCTTCCTCTGTATTCTTCTGTTTCTCTTCTCGTTTGATCTCTCTTAGTGGCCCACAATCTCTGCAGCGTTTATGTACCTTTCCTTTGTTGCTCTCCTCTTTTGTCTCAATTTCTGCAGAGTCTCCCTCATTTTCTTTCGTCCTCCGTGTGCTTCAATTTCTGCAGCGTCTCCCTTTTTTTTCTTGTCCTCATTTTTTGTTGCAGCTGATGCCTATTTATAGGCATCATAGGAGAGTTCTAGAGCTTGCTACGTGAGGGGGGAAGATGGAGGGCATGACTTCCTGCCACTCTATCTTAACCTCTCTTAACTGACCCCACGTTTTTTTTTGTTGTAGGAAAGGGGGAACCTGTTTATTACTTCCCCCTTTTGTAGGAAAATTTCCTTATTTTCCTTATTTATATTTGTTTATGGATATTTAGTTTGTATGTAAAGCCCATTCTTAACTTTTTGGGCTGGTTTACATCTTTGTTTTGCCTTGTAGTCTGACCCAATTTGTATGGACTCTATTTTTTTATGTTGTATATTTTTGTTGTTCAATAGTGCAAGGGTTTTAGTTAACCAATGGCTACTTTAAATGGTGCAAGTCCCAAGTGAAGACGTGCAACGACTATTTAATCATATTAGCGTCTTGGGTTGTAAACTCAACAATGATTAAATGGGGCACTGTTTGGGTTAATATTTGAACATTTGATTTGAATGAAGGAAAGCCTAGGGATGTCAACTAAAAGGGGACTTGCTCGAAGCACAGCACTAAGCCCAAAGGCAAAGTGAAGCCTTCTCAGCCAAGATACAAGCCACGTGCTTATCATTGAAGTGACAAGTCATAAAGACTAACCTACTACCAGCCAAAGAACATTTTCTAGTTGCATTCCAAGTAAAAGCTGATGACTCACTACTCCAAGTACTTTCAGGCAAGAGCAAAATCACAGCAGTCGAGCTAAATTGCCTATAAAAGGAGGAAGAGGACCCAGAGACAAAGACAATCAACCAATCAAACAAATAAACATACAAACTCTGCTCTCAAGCCAGATTTGCATCCAAAAGCTGAAATCAACCCAGAATCAGTCATTTTTATCAACAAGCTATCTTTTGCCCAGTTTAAGGCTCTAATATCTCCTTTAGTGGCGTAGTATTGATTCCCTTGTATAAACTTGTTTACCAGCCATCCTTTTTAACATATAAACACCTTTTAATTCAAATAGAAGTGATTGCAAGAGGTTCAACCTTGACAGACAAGGTGAAATCTTGCCCGACGCTCTTTGTTTGTTTTCTAAATTTGTATCTATCACTTAATGCATTCTCCAGTATGTATTCAAGTTATTTCCATTAGTTTTCCTATCTTAAGAGTTCCATTTGCATCTGGATCTGGTTAGTTTAATGGATATGTTATCATTAAAATCAATCGAGAACTAAGCAAACAGCTTAAAGGGGCCTGACTCCCTTCATTTGAACATACAAGACTATGAACTAAAAGTCCTCATTTACAAGGCAAGAAAAAGAACTTAATGTGGACTTAACCCATCCACGACAATCCTGTGATAACAAGAAGTCCGAGTACCTTTGATAACAAGAAGTCCGAGTAACTTGGAGCGCAAGTAATCGACTAAAAACACTCTTGTTCTACATTTGCTATATTGAGATAGTAGTGACACGCCTAGCACTTAGTTAGTTTTGATTGCAAGGCTCAAGGCCTACACCTTAGGCCCCACAAAGACACTTTTCAGAACTAACTTTGTCTTCTTCTTGTAGCACATCAACAAGTAAGAGCCTGACTACACATCTAAAGTGCTAATTCCTTGGAGAGCTGTGCTGAGGTCCGAGGATCATTCTCCAGGGAAATCTTCGCCACGAACAAGATCAGTGATTTGATTCATATGAGAAAACTAAATGTCTTTTCTCTCCAACAGTGCATAATGTGTGAAAGAGGAAGTGACAGTGAGGATGAGCTGTTTGCTCACTGCCCTATTGCTTTTAGATTGTTATTGAGACCGTTCTTAGAGAATTTGATTTGAGTTGGGTGATTGAAATTGCACGATGCTCTCTGTTCTCGTTTTCCTCCGCCATCTCTTTCTCCCAAACTCTTAATGGAAAAAAAATCTTCGAGTGGGTATTGAAATTATTGAAACAACTTACAGACTTCTCCTTCTACAGGTTCCTAATACTCAGGCATCCTTCTATGGTCCCTACTGTAAAAAAGATTCCAAATCCAATCGTCATTTATGTTAAAAGTTAATGCTTTACTTAAACTGATTATGTGTAAAAGGGCTGACTGTTGCCTATATCAGTCGACCCATTCTCTTTATCAGTCGACCCAATTACTTCAGTCGGCTTATGTATTGAGCCATATAAATCAGAAATATCTGAATGAAAATATAAGATCTCTGTTTTAAGAAAAAGCATCAGCCTTCTGTTTCCAAAGCTCTCTGCACTCTGATTCTTTGATTTTCAATCTTTATCATTTTATTCAAGTTTTATTAATGATGAAAGATTGTCTAAATACCAACATGGTATCAGAGCCAATCTGATCAAAGAGTGGGGCGTTTTTTGATTCTCAAAAAGGGGGAAAATTCTAAGTGAAACCCTAGAATCAAAATTTTTCAAATTCATGGCTGGTTCAAGTAGCAGTGGTGAGATTCGAACTCCTATCTTCAGTGGAGAGAATTATGACTTCTGGAGGACAAAGTTGAGAACAATTTTTGTATCTCATGATTTGTGGAGCTTGATTGAAGATGGCTATGTTGTACCTCTAAGTACTGTGGCTTTAACAAAGGCTCAAACAAAGGAACTGAAGGAAAACATCAAGAGAGATGCAAAAGCTCTTGGGGTCATCCAAAATGCTATCTCAGATGAAAATTTTCCGAGAATCTCGAATGACACAAGTGCCAAATCAGCTTGGGATGTGTTGGAGAAAGTCTACAGAGGCTCTACTAAGGTAAGGGCTGTCAAACTCCAATCTTTGAGAAGAGATTTTGAGTATATAAGAATGAAAGATGATGAATTGCTAGATGATTACCTGAGTAGATTGTCTGAGATTATTAATAAAATGAAAAGCTATGGTGAAATCTTGTCTGATGAGAGAATAGTTCAGAAGTATCAATTAACTTGCCAAGAAAGTATGACAACATAGTTTCAATCATAGAGGAGACTAAGGATTTGTCAACTTTGAGTGTTGAAGAATTGATTGGTTCTCTCAAAGGTTTTGCTCAGAGATTATCTAGGCATGACAACAATGATGTAGAAAATGCTTTCCAAACACTTACAGTGAATCCAAAAACTTAAGCTAGTTCAAGTCCAAGCAAAGCCAAGTCCAACAAGAATTGGAAAGGCAAAAATAAAGTTTGGGAAGGAAAGGGTAATTTTGAAGAGAAGAAGAGGTTGAGAAGAGTTTGTATGTTTCGAAGTGTAAAATTTGTGACAAAGCTCATTCCGGTGAATATTGGTTCAAAGGAAAAGTGAAATGCCACAAGTGTAGCAGATTCAGGCATATGCAAAAGGATTGTACCTACAAAGATAATCAGTTTGCTCACTACACCAAAGCAGAAGATGAAGAAACCAATATGTTTTATGTTGGTCATGATACAACCGTCCAAGAAGAAGCTAAAGTTTGGTTTGTGGACATCGGCTGTAGCAATCATATGACGGCAAATAAGAACATTCTCCATAATGTTGACACTACAAACCTAACCCGAGTGAAGATGGGAAATGGGCAGCTAGTCGATACATTGGGAAGAGGTACTATTGCCGTGCATACGAAGAATGGAAAGATGTTCATCAAGGATGTCATGTTAGTTCCTGATTTGAAGCAAAATTTGCTAAGTCTTGGACAAATCATTGAGCATGGCTACTACTTATATTTTGGAGACAATACTTGCAAGATATATGATAGGAGGAATCGTTAACAACTCTTGGCTAAGATTGAGATGAGGAAGAGTAGAAGCTTTCCTCTCACAATTGAGTATGCAACTCAATCTGCATTCAAGATGGAAGTGCAAGAAGATTCAAAGCTATGGCATAAAAGGCTTGGCCACTTGAGTTTTCAAAGTCTCAAGAAGCTACAAGAAAAAGAAATGGTGCATGGGTTGCCGAGTATCCAAGAAAATGAAGAAATCTGTGAAGGGTGTGCACTTGGGAAGCATCATAGAGATTCATTTCCACATGGTAAAGCTTGGAGAGCAAAAGCTCCATTGGAATTGATTCATACAGATGTTTGCGGACCCATGAAGACCTCTACTCAAGTGGGAAACAGGTATTTCCTAATCTTTGTGGATGATTATTCTAGAATGACTTGGGTATACTTTCTAAGACAGAAATCAGAAGTGTTCTCAATCTTCAAGAAGTTTCAAGCTATGGTTGAGCGACAATCTAGTTATCTAATCAAAGTTCTTAGAAGTGACAGAGGAGGAGAGTATACATCCACAGAATTTGATAAGTTTTGTCAATATATTGGCTTAGAAAGACAACTTACTGTTAGCTACACTCCACAACAAAATGGAGTAGCTGAGAGAAAAAAAACCATAGTCGAAATGGCTAAGGCAATGTTACATGACAAGGGAATACCTCAATATTTGTGGGGTGAGGCAGTTAATATAGCGGTCTACTTGATGAATAGGCATCCAACATTGGCAGTTGAAGATAAGACACCATTTGAGGCATGGAGTGGAAGAAAGCCTTCCGTGAATCATTTGAAAGTGTTTGGGTCAATCTGCTTTGCTTATGTTCCGAAAGAACTAAGACAAAAACTTGATGAGTCAAGTGAAAGATGCATTTTCGTAGGCTATGCTTCATACACAAAAGGGTACAGACTCTACAATTTAAAAAAGAAGAAAGTTGTGGTTTGTAGAGATGTTCTTTTTAGTGAGAAATCTTCGTGGGATTGGAATCAAGCAACCATCCGAGAGGAATCTGCACTAATTAGAATTGAAGAAGAAAATAAACCAAATGAGGAAGAAATTGAGCTAGAAATTCCACAATTATCACCAGAAAATAGTCCTTAAGTTCACTCTCCTACACCTTCAAGTCCAAGTTCAACGCCGGTTTGGTTAAGGAGCTTAAATGAAGTCTATGAAAGCTGCAATTTTTGTGTTGAAGAACTAGAAAACTTTGATGATGCAGTGAAAGAAAAGACTTGGAAGGCTGCAATGCAAGAGGAGATCAATGTCATTGTGAAAAACAAGACATGGGAACTAGTGGACAGACCTTGTGACAACTCCGTCATTGGAGTGAAGTGGATTTATAAGACTAAGCTCAATCAAGATGGTTCCGTTCAAAGGAACAAAGCTAGATTGGTAGCAAAAGGTTATTCTCTAAAACCCGGGATTGATTTCCAAGAAACATTTGCACCGGTAGCTAGGCATGAAACAATCAGAGGCCTTATTTCCGTGTTGCTCAGAAGGGGTGGTTTCTACACCAACTTGATGTCAAGTTGGCTTTCCTAAATGGAGTCCTAAAAGAAGAGGTGTTCGTTGATCAACCTCAAGGATTTGTTCTTAAAGGACAAGAGCACAAGGTGTATAAGCTTAAGAAGGCACTTTATGGCCTGAAACAAGCTCCGAGAGCATGGTATGGAGAGATCGACTCATATTTCAATGAAAGAGGTTTTCAAAGAAGTGAGAATGAACCTGCCTTCTATGTCAAAACAGAAGGTATTTCAGATATCCTTATTGTTTCCTTATATGTTGATGATTTGGTTTATACTGGAAGTAGTCATAATATGATCTTGAATTTCAAGAATGACATGATGAGGAAATATGAGATGAGTGATCTAGGCATGTTGCATTATTTTTTGGGAATTAGTATCATTCAATCAAATGATGGTATCTTTATTACTCAAAAGAAATATGCAAAAACACTTCTAGAAAAGTTCAAAATGGTTGGTTGCAAGCCTGTTGCAACACCTCTAGTTGTGAATGAAAAGTTTCAAAGAGAAGATGGTAGTGGTGATGTTGATGAATCTGTGTATAGAAGCCTAGTTGGGAGTTTGTTGTATTTGACAGCGACTAGACCCGATATTATGTATGCTTCAAGCTTGTTGTCCAAATTTATGCATAAGCCTACTTGCATTCACTATGGAGCTGCAAAGAGGATCCTAAGATACATACAAGGTACACTTGACTTTGGTATTATGTATGAAAGGAATGTTGAGCCAAAATTGTATGGGTTCTGCGATAGTGACTGGGGAGGTAGTGTGGATGACTTGAAGAGAACATCTGGATATACTTTTACACTAGGGACTGGTGTATTCTCTTGGGCATCTAAGAAACAGAAATCAGTTGCACTATCAACGGCAGAGGTTGAGTATGTGTCGACTTCAATTGCAACTTCTCAAGCAGTGTGGCTGAGAAGAATTATGCAAGATTTTGGTGAGAAACAAGAATTAGCAACTCATATCCTTTGTGACAATAAGTCAGCTATTGCCATGAGCAAGAATCCTGTTTGTCATGGTAAATCAAAGCATATTGCTCTGAAGCATCACTACATCAGAGGTGATGTGGAAGACAAGGAAGTGGATGTGGTTTACTGCAAGATAGAAGATCAAGTTGCTGATATCTTCACCAAGGCATTACCAAATGACAGATTCATCTACCTAAGAGAACTTTTGGGAGTGAAGCAGCAAAGCATTAAGAGGGAGTGTTAAAAGTTAATGCTTTACTTAAATTGATTATATGTAAAAGGGTTGACTGTTGCCTTTATCAGTCGACACATTCTCTTTATCAGTCGACCCAATTACTTCAGTCAGCTTATGTATTAAGCCATATATATCAGAAATATCTAAATGAAAATATAAGATCTCTGTTTTAAGAAAAAGCATCAGCTCTTTGTTTCCAAAGCTCTCTGCACTCTGTTTCTTTGATTTTCAATCTTTATCATTTTATTCAAGTTTTATTAATGATGAAAGATTGTCTAAATACCAACACTTTATTTCAGAAGGAAGTTTTATTGGACTCAACTATCTTATTTTAACTTCCAAATAGAAAATTTTCTCCAGTAAACTTCTAAATTTGCTCTTAAATAATTAAGAATAAGAAAAAAAAAAAGAAATAAATATTAGTTAGTAGTACTAGTATTGTGTCCGGAGAAGGAGCAAGTGGCAAGACGATTAAGCAACTAGTCTAGTCTAAAGTCTAGCCTAGTGTTGTCTGTGTTGTTGGAAATGAAAAGGAGATGCCATGGCTGGTAACGCCCTTTCCATCTCTGCAGGTAACTCCGACTCACTTGGTTTCATTTCATATTTTGGTTTCATTTGTTAACTGGTAATTCCGTGATTGGTAGCCTTTGATTTAATTTACGAACCAAATGTAAATGTGGGAATTGCAGATTGTTGGAATTGCAGTTTACAGTTCTCTTGTGGTGGTCTTCTACACATTCCTTGAATTTTTCCTCGGAAATAGAATCGTCGAATCACAGTCCGTCTTTTCCTTTGTGGTACTCTACTCTACTCCACTCTTCTCTATCAATCCATATCAGCATGACATCTCATATCCGAGTGAATTAATTTTCTTTGAAATTTGAAATGTCAATTTCAGGCTGTTTCGGTCATGTTTCTCCTCATAAGGTGCACAGCCACTGACCCAACTGACAGAGCCAGCCTTAAGAAGAAGAACAAGAAGAAACCTCAAGGTGGCAAAGGCCTTCCAAAGCTCAACTACGGCTTCCTTCTCGGGTAGATTGTAGTGAGCTTCTTTAGGAGGGTGGAGAGGAAGATCCCATGGAAGACCGTCGCTCAGTTGGATCCTTTGCTCCCGTTTCCCTTTGTCCTCATAAAAGAAGAAGCTGTCTCTCCTGATTTAAGGGACGACATCTCTTTCTGTGCACTCTGCGACTTTGAGGTAACGGATTAAATCCCTAATCCTAATCCGAGCTTAGATATCTCACTCTCATCATATAATTTGTATTTACACAAGTAATTATAATTCTGTTTTGCAGGTGAAAAAACACGGCAAGCACTGCAGGACCTGCAACCGTTGTGTTGATAGCTTTGACCACTACTGCCGGGTGAGAAATTGTTACAACTCCTTTTCTTCTCATTCAATTTAGAAATTCAAATATCAAGTAGTTAGGATATGTTATTCAAAACTGAAAATAAAATTCAATTGTTCTTCTCTTCCAGTAGTTAAACAACGGAAAATAAAATTCAATTGTTCTTCTCTTCCAGTGGTTAAACAACTGCATCGGAAAAAAGAACTACACCACATTCATTCTCCTTACGATTTTCCTTTTGTTATTGGTAAGTTACATTAATTGACAGCTCCCTCATTAATATCTCGGTTTATATGCCGAGGGACAGGTCCAACTCAGGTAAAGTCTATATCTTACACGGCATATACATACAGCCTTCCCTAGTTTTGCCTCTTCAGATTTCAGAAGGCATGCAAGTCTATTTGCAGCATGACTTATGGGATAAATTGCTATTCTAAGTTTCAGAACAACCAAAGGCTGTCCATAAGAACTGATAGCGATCCTCAGCCTTTTACCTCAACTAAGAAACAAGGCTTCCATGTCAGCATTGACCCCTGAAGGCTGACGAAGTTGAGTACAGAGAAAGCATCGATAACAGCAGAGAAAGCCAGAGGATGGATTGTGAAACAGAAGCCGCCTACAGAAGAGGATTCATTGAACCATTACCGTTAGAGACCAAATGTCGACCATTGATGACGAGCACAGATAAAGGCACGACCACTGCTGTAGGATCGGGCTTAACACTTCTCATATCCAAAGGGTGGATGCCAGGGTCACCCGGCGGAAAGTTTTCAAGCCCAAGAAGGCGGGTTTCTGGTTCACTGACTATGTTCTCCGGCACTGTGCCCTCACCAAAGCACAAGTACCGAAACAACTTTGAATTGAACTTGATGGAGGTGTCGAGGAAGCTGGAAACCTACATATCAAGGCAGGTTCTATGTTC